CCGCGAGCAGTTCTTCACCACCGAGGTTGCCGACAGCTTTATGTACATGATTAGACGCAAATCGCACCCATTGTCTGCAGGCGGCGATGATGGCAGCGCCTGTGGAAGGTGCCCTAGAGGCTCTTCAGACACTAAGGCCCGAAAGGGTTCAAGCTTGCTGTTTGTTCTCCTTCCTGGACATGGGATGCAGGGTTTAAGATGCTTAGAAAGACCTTTGCAAGCCAGGATGGCACGGTGTCTTTGATTGATTCTCTAGTTTCTTTACGCTCTATGCACGCCATGCCAGTCGATGATCTGCGGGATGTAACACTCACTGTGTAAGCTTGGTAACAGTTCAGCTTTTGGGGAAGGGGGAAGGGGGGAAGGACGGAAGGGGTTCAAGTCGGCGTGCTTCATTGCTCGTGTTAGAATGCTGACTGGCTGGCACTGACTGGGTTGTTTTGTTGTGTCAGAATGCCTGCCGACGAGCGCACTGCACTGAATGTTGGTTAGGGGTCGCGACATGTATTTTCCGACCTTTTTGTCAAGAGATGGGGCGCCGCGCATCTTGCTGCACATGCTCATTGTCAATTGGCGATGTTTGCGGGCTCTACATCTTCCTACATACGAACTGTCAAATAGCCACTAGAGAGGTGTGACATCGCTTGTATTTGTAGGTCTTTAGGATGTTGTCGGTTCATGGCGCCTCTTTGCGTGGGCCTGGCCTTATGGCTCCTAGCTTGATTGCACGTGCCGATTCTACAGGTTCTGCGTTGTTTTCTCATCGAGTCTATCACGGTTAGCTGCTATCATTGGGATGAGGTCCCGGCAAGTTTGCTGCAAGCCCTATGCCCTGTGCCTCCTTCAGAGCGAACACTTCGAAGCCATTCTGTACGAGGGTGGAAGCATAGGGGAAGGCTCAAGGACCCATAATAACATTGAAGTCGCGGCACCCACGACCGGAAAGCGCAACGATTTTCAGCTTAAGGCTCAAGCGTCGAACTCTTTTCCAGAAGACCCTGCGTCGAACCCCCCCAAAAGACCCGCACCTGCCATGTCCTGTATGTCCTCCACTCGTGCGCTCCTGCTTGCCGCAGTGTTCGGCTTGGCCCAGGCCATGCCAAACACCACGGGCAAGATCTGCCAGTGGGGCTGCTACGACGAGGAGGATGAGGCTTGCCACGCGGGCCTCACGAACATGCAGTGCGCGGAGATCTACGGCCATGTCGAGTGGATCCAGGTGTGCGACTGTGTCGATGAGGCGACCGGCCTTCGCGACAACGTCACGGTGGCCGCTCCGAGGTTGGAGACGGCCAACATCTATTTCTCCGTGCCGGCCTTCGTCGTCCTCTTCCGCGAGAGCTTGGAGGTGGTCATCGTTCTTGCGATCATCATGCAGTTCCTGACCAAGATGAAGAATGATGGGCTTCTCGAGCAGAAGCTGTTCTACAAGTTCCGGCGGGAGGTCTACGTGGGCGCAAGCCTTGGCTTCGCCGTCTGCTTGCTTTTTGGAGTGGGCTTCTTGGCCCTCGCCTCCTTGACCTACCAGCTCTTCGAGGGCGACAATGAGCGCATCTTCCAGTTCTGCATGATGAGCCTCACCTGCATTGTTCTGACCTTCCTTGCTGTGAACTTCTATAAGATGATCTACACGAAGGAGGCGCATGAGCGAAAGATGAAGAAGCAGATGGAGGAGACGCTCGAGGCGTCCCGCGCCGCGGAGTCCGGAGACGAGGTGGGCTTTGGCCGGAAGCACGCCTTCTTCGTCCTGGCCTTCACGACCGGGCTGCGGGAAGGCCTCGAGTCCATCGTCTTCCTGGTGGGCGTCATCTCGGATGTCAAGGATCTCAGCTCCCTGCCGCTGCCCATCATCACTGCACTCGTCCTGGCCCGCATCGTTGGCTGCATCTTTTTCCAGGGAACCAAGGGCCTGAAGGTCGACTGGTTCATGCGCATCTCCGCCGTGCTGCTCATGAGCATCGCAGCCGGTTTCTTTTCCTCTTCCATGCACCAGCTTCAGGAACTGGATGTGTTTGGCGTCTGGAGCCCGCGAAGCGAGAGGCCCTGGCAGAACGTGAACGTTTGGGACGCCACCGACTGCTGCAACGACAAGACCAACCGCTTCTTTGTCCTCATGCGGGCCATCTTCGGCTGGCAGGACCAGGCCACTCCTATTGAGATCTTCGCCTACATCTTCTACTGGATTCTGGCAACCCTGCTCGTCTCCCTGATGATCTGGCGGGCCAAGAAGCAGCTCGCAAAGATGCTTGAGAAGTGGCGCGTGCTGGATGAGGAGGAGGCAGCCAAGGAGGCCCTTAAAGAGGCGAAGGAGGAGGCTACAGGGGAGGCTACGGAGAAAGACGGCGCTGCTGCCATCTGAAGCTCAACTTGCTTCACCCACACGGCGGCACTTGAGCTTCAAGCCTGGGGGCTTTTGGGGGGTAATTGGGGTTTAGGGTTTACTTTCAGCCGCGCTTGGCCTGACAAAAAGGCGAGGTTTTCCCAAGAGGAGCCTCCAGGCTTGTTAGGTTTTTTTTCCGGTGCGTTCATTTTCCACGCCAGTCTGGATCACCAGACTGGCGCCGCACTATTGCTGGCCGATTCTGGACGCCCTTGTCTGAGGGTAGCAAAGGAGCTGCCCTAGGCCCGTTCATCCTTTTCACGGGCATCTCTTCGTCGCGTGGCCCTCCAGGGGCTTCCTTATGCTCGCCACGAGCACTGAAGCGCTGCAGGGGTTGAGTCCTTGGAGGAGTCTTGAGTCCTTGGAGGGCCTCGTGCTTTGTGCGTGCATTGCGGGAAATCTCGTTCCAAGGGGCTCCGAAGTTGTAAAGGGTACCTCGGGCAGGGCTGCCGGGCAGATCTAGATTCAACTCAAAATGGGATTGACCCCCGCATCCCTTAAGGACTAAACCCTACTACACAGCCAAGACATGTCAGCTGCCATTGGCCCCCCTGCACCGTTGCCCATCATGGCCTCCGGTCGACAGCGGACCATGGACACCGTTTTTGGTGTAAATAGGGATTTGAATTAGGGTACGTCTTGGATGTTTGCTGCGTGGTTCTAGAAGCGTCTGCCGTCGACCGTTTTGTGCCACCGTCGCCCCGTTCCAATGCACCTCGTTTATCAAGGACCCTTGAAGCGTTAGGAAGGACAGAAAGAACCCTAAACCCTAAACCCTCCATGAGCCTTCCAGTGCAACCCCCCAAGCCCCAGAAGGTCAGACTCCGGGGGTCCTCGTCGTGACGCCCCCCACTTCTTTGGCCGTGGACTTTCGCCAATTCGGCGAAGATCCGGCAAGGAACCCTAAGCCCTAAACGCAACCCGAACCCTAACCCCCCAAAAAGTAACAGAGTAGGGCGGTAGGAGGTGTTCACCCAGACCTCTGGTGGGAGATATCGATTTGTAATTGGTGTGAGCACCTCCGGCCGTGCATCCGAGGAAGCCTCTTTCGTTCGTTGTTTTTGTATACGGTCTTTAGGGTGTGTTTTTATTACATTGTAAGGGTTTCATAGCCAGGGTTGTGCTCTTAGGGGTTCTACTTCTCGGATGTGCTTTGTGAGTTGTACATGTCCAGGGCGCGCTGCATTGATGTTGTTTTCCTGCGGTCGTCCTTGATGACCAGCCCACTCGAAGAGAGAGAAAAAAAAAAAAAGCCCTGCAGATGAAGTTTAAGTCCGCAAGTCCACACTCCCCGCAGACAGGTCGTACGAAAGTGGTTGCTCTCTTGGTATGCTTGGGAGACTGTAACGGGTGGCTTCGACTTCCTCATGCGGTACGACCCTGCTACGACATGCCCCATCCGGCTGACAGGTCTGTAGGCTTTGCGCTGCACGCGCTGAGCTCTCGGCCACCCAGCTCGCAGAGCGCCGGGAATCCTAGATATCGTAAACTCAACGGCGACACTCTGACACGTTTCATGCCAAGGCTGCAACAGCGCCCTACATCCTGACTGTCACGTTGTGTTGCAGCTTGCTGTGACGGTTCAGAGAGAAGGGTACTTTCACAGGCTGCTGAGTCACCACTTCACGCTTGCAGCGTTTTTTTGTTTCGCATCGAGCAGCATGCTGTTATTGAAGCCAGCCACGCCTGCATGTGGTTAGGAGCTTCGGCGCATGAGTGCGAAGATTTAGAGGTATTGAGCAGCATGGTGGTCCCGGCTTTCCTTCAGAGACTGCTAGTTTTACCAGGGCCGCCCGCTGAGGGACTTTGTTTTGGGTTGAAGCTGTGGTTACTTGGCTAGAAGAGGCCACCCATCGATTTCTGCACCGATGTTTTCCTGGACTGGTCTGCGGCTGAGGATGTTGATTTTGGTGGTCGATGTGACACAATGTCTTACAGTATGGGGTTTTTACCACCCTTGTTCTTGGGGTCCTTACACCCGCAGTGCTGTCGGTTTCAAGACTTGAAGGGCTCATCACTCACGTTCTGGTCTATTGGCTCGGGTTGAGGGCAGTTGCGAAATCCTCTGCTGAAAGCGCCGAGTTCAGAGGACGCCATCTTCCCGGAAGTGCATGGACGTGAGCCCTCGTTGAATCAAGAAAAATGGAATGGTCTGCCAAACTTAGGGCTGCACTTCTCCTTGACCCAGCCACATTCTGAGCCTAACCACCCCAAGCCATCATGCATTGGAAAGTAACGGTAACCGTCACACTACCCGATCAGACCGAACCGAGCCTTAAATCCGCTACATCGTGAACCAAACTTGCACGCTCCAAGATCACCAGCCTCCATCTTGCACAGCCACACGGGGCCCCAAAGGGCGTCGGGGAGCCCAGCAAAGGCTTCCGTTCAGGCCCGAGGTGGGCGTGCACCTCTTGCGGGCTGAAGATGTGGTGGAGACCCGGGCAGAAGGTTCCGGATTCCTGTTGCGACTTCGCGTCTGGGCTTTCTCCGTGCCCCCCCCCCCCCCCCAATTTCATAAAACTGGTGGTGGACTCCTAAACACTGGCAAAACCGTTAAGCCTCTGGTCTCTTGCCATGGGCAAAAGTGTGTTTTCTGCTCTAGCTGCACAAGAACATCATGACGCTGCTTGATCCACGCGTTCCCTCACGACTTTTGCAGGCTGTGGCAAGAAGCATTGGTGCCTGGGGACTGCTGGATGACCAGCATGGTGGCCCAGCACTGTCCTGTGACCTTCTCGGAATTCTTTGGCAGCTGGGACGTAGGGCACGGGACTGCGGTGCTGGCAGGGTGCGCACGCAGCTCCTTTCTAGGGAGGCTGCAGCGTTTTCATCGCAGTTTCCTGTAGCAGTCACCAGCGATGAGTTAGGGTTTTTCGACAAGGAGGAGAACAAGTCAGGGGATGCTTTTGCTACAACGACATGATTGCACTCCGTTTTGACATTGAGAACAAGCAAACTTAAGCAAGTCTGTGGCCATGTTTGTTCGTCTGTGTCTGTGTCTGTGTCTCTGTCTGTGTCTGTGTCTGAGTCTGTGTCTGTGTCTGTGTGTGTGTGTGTGTGGCTGTCTGTGTGGCTGTCTGTGTGGCTGTCTGTGTTGTGGTGGGGTGTGGTGTTGTGCTTCGTTTTTCTTTTAATACCGACAAGGGAGGTAGGACAGGAAAACGAAGGGTTAACAAAGAAGCAAATGGAAGAAATACACCCCAAACCCTGGAAGCCGGAATGCTCGAATCCTAACACTTGGACAGTGGGTGCAGGCAGGCTTTCCTGCCCAGCCAAACGGCAATGAAATTCAGCGAGCACCTGCCCAAGCCCTCAGCCACACGGTGCACCTGCAGCAAACCTCAATCCCCCGAAGCCAGAAACACGGACTTGTCAGGTTGCCGCACGTGCTGGATGCTGTGTCCAAGGGCGTGCCTGCGGCTCTCTTCGACCTCGGGGGTGGGAAGCCCAATCGGTATGGTGCTGATTGACCTGAAAAAACGATTCTTTTGCAAAGGCTCTTTCAACCCATGTCGACAAAGGTGCTTGTTAGAGCTCGGGGCGGCGATTTCGGATTTTCGGGTTTTGGGCGCGGACGTACAAGTTCTCGCTGTACAAGTATCGAGGAGGCTAAGCATCTCCAAACCAGTCAGGGGATCAGGAGTTAGGCTTCCTGCAGAACCCAGATGCAGGAAGGGGGCACATGAGCAGCCAGTCTCTCAAGGAAGGTTGAAGTTCGGCCTTAAAAACTAAACTAGTAACTAAAACGGATTGAGGTAACGACGGCGCCGGCTTGTTAGGTACTTTCGCCCAGGAACAGGCCACGAATTGATCCAGGATGGTCTCAGCCGAAGTGCTAAGTCAAAGAGGCTTCCTCAACGGAGAGGTCTACCCGGGACCGATCTGCCTATAGTCGAAACCTTGACCAAAAAATGAGCTCACTCCGAACTCCTCAAGCATAAGTGCTCTTGCCAAAGCTGCGCGCAAGGACAGTATACCTGGACGAAGACTGGGGATGCCAGCAGCCTCAGATGTTCACACCCAAAGCACTGCCAGAAAATACCTTCCAAAAGTCTTCCACGAAGTTGAGGGGATTTGTGGGGCTTGGGGTTCTGAGTTCTGTTAGCAACCAGTGCGTGCCGTGCTGCCGGGCTAGCTCGTTCGGAAATGGTCGGGTGAGCAAGGTACGCATGATAAAATCGGAGTCTCATCGCATCGCATGATAGAGCAGGACTGGGTAGTGGCATGAATGGATCGGCTTGGGTCTCGTGATCCTGTCCGCGTCTCATGCTAATCCGACAAAACCGAACTACTCTGCAGGTCACCCTGGATAGAGTGAGACCTCTGGCTACAAACTCTGAAGCCAACCCAGTTTGCCTGATCCAAAGCCCCGGCAAAGCTGAAATTTTAATCTGGGTCAACACAGCAGATCCCTTGCTAGTTCCATTCCTTCAACATACGAATCACAAACAGTCTCTGGAGTCGGACATATATACACTGATTATTGAAGTATCCCTGCTTGAGCTTATAGGCTTAGGCTGTCACTGCACCTGAGGGTTACGGGCTAAACGATGGTTGGGTCGCCAATGCCGAGGCTTTGCCTCCTGGGGCTGTGCGAATTACGAGCTGGCCTGAAGTCGTGGCCTTTCGCTTAGCAGGCTTAGCACCAGTTTAGGAGGCGAGATCAGGCGAGTTAAGATACGCATAACAGACGACGAAGCCGTCCCCACGTGGGTGAAGCTTTTTGAGCATGGGCTGTCTGTGCTCATGACGAACTACCCTACAGAGAGGGATTTTCATTGGCTGTGACAGGTGTCGTTTCGTTGATTTGTATGGGGGTGGGCTTGTATGTTGACGCTAGTAGCTTTGTGGGAATATCATGATGGCAGAATAGGTGTTCATCCCATTCTCCATCTCTATTGTTTTTGTATTTTGTTCTCTCTCCCTCTCTCTGTCTCTCTCTCTCCCTCCCTCCCTCCCTCCCTCCCTCGCTCCCTCTCTGCTTCAGCAGCAGCCACACACCGGCTCCTCCACTCGTGGCCCTGGCTTTGCCTGTGCCTTCAAGTTCTGTTTATTGGGCCCCACCCCCCCCCAACCTGAGGTCCCAGGCACATGTCAGCAGCGACAATTTCGCAGCACGCAGAGGCAGAGCATCTAATACTGCACACAGCATCTCGTCACAGCCTGTCGGCTCATGCCTAGGTGCTGCAACCCTGATCCTGAAAGATCTCAGGGACAATGCCGAGAAAACCTTGTCATGAAATTGGAATTGTTTCGCTTCCTCTGAGAGCCATTCACCCTAGGCCGACACAATAGAAGCCCGTGGCCGGATAGGGGCACTAGGCGTCCACCAGCTTTGGTGTCAGAGCAAATCACGTGGCGCAGGGGCGTCTGCAACAGAATGTCAGGACAATCTGAGGTGTCGGTTTTGACAAAGGATGGGCAAACAGTGTTGGTACTTGTACACTTGTGCTGCCGCGCCGGACAAGTATAGTGCCTGTAGGGCAGGAAGGCTAGGGCATGGGAGGACAGCCATAAAGAGTTGACTCAAACTTCCAAAAAGCCCTTCGCTCTTTGTCTTGCTGAAGGCCTGGGCCCAGCAGCTTCCTGTCACAGCCCCAGAATAAGCTTGAGGCTAAGGCACGTGTGAGGAGCTTATGCTATCAATTCTGAGGATTCGGGTTTTGGTGGGGGTCCGGAATTTGGGGAGGGTTGGTGCCCAGCCCCAGAGGCGTTTGTGGAGTGGCACATGGTTGGTTTTTTCACAAAGGATGGCGGATGCCTTGTGAAGAAGGGCAGTCCGACAAGCAAATTGCCGGCATTCTGCTGGAGAGCCGCCCACTGATGCGGATGATGGGGCTGAACAAACTGACAAGTATCGCCAAGGGTGTGGAAGGTGTGACAGGGAGAGAAGCATGAACTGGACCACACGGTAAGACCCCAGAATTAGTTCCTGTCACGTAGAAAGACTCATGATGGTACGGTTTCTAAGTCAAGATGGTACGGCTGACTCGCGAGGTTAGTTCACCACACGGTAATACCAGAGAGTTAGTGGCTTGGAAACAGATGAACGGAGTCAATCCCAAGCCTTATTGATGACCGCGCCGTGAACTCCTTTAAAAGCCCAACAAAAGTAGTATTAAATTAGGGCGTGCTTCGTATTCACTTCATTACCCCTAATTTTATTACTAATTTTGGGCGAATTCGGCAATCACGCCCAGACACTTCAGAAAACGAAGTAGCCGAGTCAGACTCTTTGTCTCTGTCGGGCTTAGGATTAGGTCGGAACACTCGGCCATTGCTAGTGCCTGATGTTCTCTGTGGTGGGTAAAAGAGGCTTTGGAGCGGACGGCAACGCAGGACAGTTTTCTGATTCAGGCGGCCCCAACTCGCAAGCCCGACATTATCCCCTGACATCCCTGACCAACTGAACACTTCAACCCCAAAGGTAGAGTAGAGCTGCAAGGCGCCACCTGCTGCGCATGCAGGCCACGCATTCACACTGACTTGGATTTCAGACAAAGCTTGCAGAGGTTGTTGAGCTATTCATGGTTCGAGGCCGTGGCTGATGGAATTGAGGAGGCTGTGGAGGTTTAGGGTGTTCTGGTTTTGTAGGGTGCACGTGCCGACATGCTTACAAGTGACGCTTTCCTCTCTTCCGGGATGGACTCCTGCAAAAAGCCTGGAAAAGCAGGTTCCATTTACTGAGCTTTCGGATTGTGAACTTCGAGTTTGGGGGGGCTGGAACTGGGATTTCCAACGGGCCAGCAATACGGCTCGGCCTCAGGGTTTTCAGGCTGCAGCCAAGATTTTAAGTGCGTTTCACACCTCGATGAATCCCAATTAAGTCGACATGCGATCGGGCTCCTGCTCTTGAAATCTCTTTCCGCTGTGCCAGCTATGATCTACCTTCCAAAACGGGCATAGTTTCGAAGCTATTCATACCGCCTGGAGCGGCACTGTGCCTGACAGAGGCCTCCCCAATACATCCGGGCCGGCCGCCTTCGTACCGGAGGCAGAGAGATTTTGATTTCGCGCTTAGGGACCACAATCTTTTGCAGCGGCTTGCGGTGGGAATTTGAAGTTGTACAGTTGAGCATTGAAGAGGGGCATGCGTGAAGATGACTGGGCAAGTCCTGCATGGTGACAGGACCACCTCCATGCCCATTTACAACTCAAACTAGGAGAAGATCTACTGAATCCTTGCTCCCAGGTCACAGCCTGCGTTGTTCCCGCGACAGCTCCTCCCCCTCAGGTGCTGTCACTAGGGTTGCAGGCTTCAAGTTTGGGATAGCTTGCATTCGTTGACTTCTGGCATGGGCTCTCAAGACCTGCAGCCAGGAAGTTACAAAGAAATCTGTGGCATTGAAAACTTCACCACCCGGACCTCGATGATTCCCAAGGTGCCTAACCCTAAACCCTAAAGGCTCCAACACAGCAACTGGCAGGCTGGGCAGGAGACGGCGGTCCAAGCAGCAGGAGGCCACCGGCTTGTTGCCTTCTGCACTGGGTTCCGAGTCTTGTTAGCTTGTAGTGGGGGCCTTCAGTATTATCTTCAATATTATCGATACAATACAATAGTTTGTTGTATTACATGTTATATGTTATATTATAAAAGCCTTGATGGCCTTGATGGCCTTGATGGCCTTAAGCCAGATTGACCCGCTCAACAGCCCTTTGGCCAGGCGAAGGCCTTGAAAGATCTTTGAAGCAGGAACATAGCGAAGCCCCATGCGCGCAAAACCTAAAAAGTAGAATCGTGCAGAGCAGAGATCACATCTGTACCAAAGGTTCTGAGGCTCAAGCATTCGGTTTGGCATGTTGGGGTTGAGACTCATCTTGGTCCTACATCCTGAGCCGTGAGACCTTGACCCCAGATCTCTCCAGGCCCAATGCATTGTAAAGTAGAAAGACAAAGAAGCCCCCCCTGAAGGCCCGAAGGCC